TTTGTTTCCAATCCACAAATATTTAGATAACCTCTCAAAAGAATAAAACAAAGGTATGTGAACAAAATGCAAGTTTTGACCATTTGCAATCCATATTAAGCACCCGCGGCAATATTTCAATCATTAAACAGTGCGACAAACGTTGTAAAAACACTTAAAGTGCCTTAATATATTTAAAACAGTAATATTAAAAGATCAAATTCAGTAATCACCATATTAATGATGCATAGTTTACATAATGATGAGGCTGGAATATGAATGCAATCCGCTTAATGGTTCAGTTTTCCTTATAGTGGTTTTCTATGGGAAACCATTTAATGTGAAACTTTGCACATTGTGTTTATATTCTGGGTTCATCTGCTTGCCTGTACAACATATACATAATCAGTAAGATGTTTACTGAATTTCGCCTTTTAATATCTGCGTTATACTACATTACTACTTAATGCAATCGGCATAAAAATAACTTCGTTTTGCTCTCCAGGTGGGCGTTCCTGTAAGGGTGTGACGTCACGTGAAAACTATCAATTAAACACTAACAACATTTATATCTTCTTGGAGTTATTTCTAAGACTGAACTTTTTTATATTGTTGGACGTAAACCAAGCCATTTGGGAGGAAACGCAAAGCACAAGATGAATGTACCACATTTTTAACATTATTTGGTTGAAATAGACCAATGCAAGCAGCAGTTAACTGGATATGCTGTTGAAGTGGCAAATAAAAATATTTGAGGCTCGACTTTGCCTTTATATGAATTTGATTAATACATTTTTCCCAGTGTACTGCAGTGAATACAGGTGAAGTGGGGCAACTTTTGGATTTATTTCTTACTTTTTACACTGTATATTGTAGATTATTGTTATTGTAATTTTTGTAAGGTGTTAAATCATCTGGGAATCATATTTTAGGGAATCTGTATTCACCCTGATCATATCTAGTACTAGGACAACAATAATTGTTTTAGATTCAGCATTTAAATAATGCATTTAGATTTAGCAGCATTTAAATAATGCATTCTGTATTTGCAGCTAATATTATTACATCCGAGACATAAACCTTACAAAATCTAACAAATTAACATTTCTTGTCCATCATTCCTGGAGAATCTGACCTTTGACCTATGGACTCCGTTGGGAAAACTGCTTCTAAACTGACCACTTATACCCATTACCAAGCTACAGCAGAGCACCAATCCAGAAACCACTTCTATTTTTATGTACACATTTTTTATTTTTAATGTGTTATTGTCTGTGATTCATGAAGATCTCCAGCTGGAAACAAAAGAAACGAACATCACACCATCTCTCCAAAAGAAGGGCTGAGCCACCATGCATTTCTACTATAAAAAGCAGTTTAATTATTTTGTATATATATAAAAAAAATAAAAATAAAATTAACCAACAAAACTACAGAAACTGTTGCAGGGTTGTGACACTAGTCATCTGTGACAGTAAAAGGCCACTGGGGGCCGTACTAAATTACATTTGATCATAAACAGAGCAGACACTTTACGTTAAGTCCAGATGCTCGGATGAATACTGTTAACATGTATCTGTTGAGCCGACGCTAGTCTTTATGAGCTGTTGGATCCATGAAGCAGTGGACGCTCGGCCGCAAGCAGGGCTGGCTGCGTCTCTCTACTGGTCAGGCAGATGAGAATGATGGGAAGAGTAGCAGCAAGGCAGTGAGTTATTACTGGATCCACACGAACCTCACAGGAATGCACTTACACTGAGCACAAAGTCCATAAGACAAACTAGTGAACTAAAAGTGACATACAGCTTCCACTGAAGTGGTATGGAATGGTTCTGTCGAATCCACACCGACCGAGAGCAGACGACAATCATCTGCACGTTTCTCCTGGCTGTTTCCGGCGTACTGGAAGACATGGCATCAGATGAGGCCCACATCCTTTGGACGTACCGCTTACATACCCTGGAAACAGTTCTGGAATGACCTTACATTTACCATCCGTTTGGATTCACTCAATCGTTCATTCAATCCACATCTTTTCATCCATTAAAAAAACAAAGCTAAAACAAAGACAGTTATACTGCTATTCGTACAGGTGTCTGCTTGTATTCCTGGGTATATTTGTCAAGACACTTTGTTAATTATATATGTAAATATATATAAAATCAATCTGTGCAAGGAGTATGACAATCATCGTAAGCGTTGTTCTTTGAGATAACAGTATAGAAATAAAAGCGATGCTGACTCATCCACGTCTCGCAACACTCACGCAAGTATATTCGTTCTCAGCCATCTGAAATCACACACGGGCCGAGTCAGCATCAGTATCATTCAGTCGGCCTTGCCCCCCTCCCTTACATTTCATTAGCAACACTTGGCAATTTTGCTTTTCCTAAAAGAAACATTAATCTCTATACAATTCATACAAAAATAAACTTAAAACCAAAAAAAAAAACATTTCCCATATTGTTGTTGGCATCTTGTTGAGCACAGAGGTAGTGGCTAAATGGAGGGGAAGGGTGAGAAATTAGGTATGCAAACGTCTGAAAAATAAAAAAAAAACAGGGAAAGGAAAGAAAAAATAAATGTATAGAAAATGCTTTCTTTTGTTGACCAGAAGGATTTCTCGAAGAATAAAATATAATACTGCGATCACATACAAAAGTGTCCTTCATTTTTGTCTTTTTTGTGTTTTTTTTTTTTTGTACATTTTGTACAGTGTTCCTGCTCTTGTTGCTTTTCCTTTGACATGTAAAGGCATAACGGTCTGTGTGAGGGCAGGCATCCGGCCGTGACTCTACGCCAACGGGTCTCCCATGTCGTCGTCTCCTGCAGACAGCAGCTCTTTCTTCTCGTCTGTGCTGGCCAGAGAGTTACGGCTGTTATGGGCGCCCAAGTAGAGTGTGGCGTATACGGGGTTGGTGAAGTTTGTGGGCTGCAAGAGAAACACAGATGCAGATAAGCTGATGATTACTTTTATGGCCCATAGAAGATTAATGGCCGATATTACATTTTCAAACTATTTTAATGACATATATTAAAAATAATAAACTAAAAACTAAGTGAATTTATGCAATACCAACATTATAATAAACAGTAGGGATGCACGATATTATTGGACCAATATCGGAATCTGCCGATAATGGCTTTAAATGTAAATATCGGCATCAGCCCGATATGAAAAATTATGCCTATATGTCTTGCCGATAAGAGGAATACATTAACTCGCATGTGCTCAGCGTGTGCTAGCGATTAGATCACGTCAGCATTGTGGCTCATCCTTGAAGCAAAGTTTCGCCTGAATGGTGATTAGATTAACTACTTTGGATCGCTGCATTTAATCTGTGAAAGCACGTACAGAATGAGGCCTTCGGTGTATGATAGAGTAAACAGTAATAGCACGTGCAGTGGCAGCAGCAGCGGCAGCCTCCCTAAGTCCTAATGCCCGCTCATTAAGGAGTTTTAATTCCGTAGGGGGTGCTGTTGGCCTACTTCTAATAAAATGAAAGCAAAATACACAAATAATATTTAGACTGTGTTTCTGATTAAATAAAGCGGTAATTGATGCCATAAAATCATGAGTATGTTTTGATTTAAAAGTCAGAAACTTGCACGAACAAAAAAAAAAAAAAATCACAAACACAACACTTAAATTAAATAATTTTATATATACGTTCAATTAATGTGTAATATGTTATATTTTTTAAATTATGAAAGATTTTGAAAGATTTTCAGAATTTGTACAACTCTTTTGCTTTACATTATTTACAAATGTTAAATCATAAAATAAAATGTTAAGGTTACCACTGCATCTTTCAGAAAAAAAAAATAAAAATGCAGTGATTAATATATAGTTTATTTATAGTTATTTTCAAATCTTCAATGTACTGTCATTATAAAATAACTTTATTATTGTTTATATAATTCTAACAAATAAGTTCTTGTTAAAAACTAACCAAAATTAAAAATAATTATATATCGGTATCGGCATCGGCTATCAGCCAAAATGAGTTGAAAATGATCGGCATAAATCCAATACCGTGCATCCCTAATATACAGTATGAAAAATGGATATTCAAGACAAACGTTTAGACTGCAAAAGTGAAATAAAAGTTAATGTCTCCAACCAAACTAATATTTAAATAAAATATATATAATTATATATTAGGCCCTATTTAAAATTATGTAAAATATTTTATTTTACCAAACTAATAATTAAAAAGTTTAATATATGATCATATATTTATTTTATAAAATAGAAAAATATTTTAAAAACTATTTAAATTATTATTTTGATTTCAATCGATTATGATTGTATTTAAATATTGTATTTAAAGTTTTGGTTGAAATATATAAATTTTTTCACACACCCACACTGATATATACAAATCAATCAAGAATAATAACTAAATACAATAATAACAATAAAAAATTATATATAATTGAATATAAAATAATATTAACATAAAATATATATGATATAAAATATAATCATGTAATATTGTCATTTTGATTTTAATGATATTAGACAATAATTATAAACTATAAATATATTAAAATATTTTATATATTTCATATATTATATACATTTATTTATGTTTTAACGCCACATCAGCAACAATGTCTACATTCATGGCAACATTAACAGTATCATTTCAATATATCATTTACAGTAATATAACATTTTCTTAAGACACACTCACTATACAAAAACATACAAATAACAAAAATAGTGCTGATAAAAATCACATAGAATCTTTCAATTTAATCAATAATAAAATGCTATTTTTTTTTCCAGGAGAGACCTTTTTAAAAATGTCTTTTAATTTATTTTCTGAATAAAAACATTGTCTAATTTCATTTAAAATTGGACATTCTATTAAAATACGTTTTACACTCAAAAGATTCTTACATAAGTCACAAACTGGTTTCTCCTCCCCTTTCAATAAATATGAATGAGTGTGTCTTGAATGTCCAATTCAACATCTTGTATATACAACCTGGTTATATCTATTTTCAAAACAGTTAATTTACTACTGGATTCACCTCATATAGTTTGTTGTATATGCATTAATTCCATTCACCATTCATATATTATACAAAACATAAAATTATTTTATACTTTAATATTAAACATTTTAGCACAAAGAACATTTCAGCTGAAACTAACGATTACAAAATATAAACTTTAAAATATACAATTATAATAAATAATATTCAAAAAATCTAAATGACAAAAATATAGTACGTAAGACCCCTACCAGGGGGTTGGAGAATAACAAAGGTGTCACCTTATCTGGATCCAGAGTGAACTCAGAGTCCAGAAGCTCCCCTGCGTCATCGTCAGGCTCTCCTTCGTAAATCTTGTACGCCGGGTTCCCGATCTCAACGTTCATGGCTCCGTTGGTCATCCTCTGGTGCTGGAATCCTTTAGCGCTGTGGACACAAACACCAGTAAGCAGTTACATCTTTGTCCAAGCTTCTTCGCAACACACCTCTGCAGGCCGAGCCAAGGCACAGGAAGTTACACTCACACACACAAAGTAGCCTATCTCCAAGCAACTCCCAAACACAGACACACAGCTACATCCACCAGGGTCTCTCCTGCCGTATAAACACAAGTGCAAGGAGCCATGACACTTTGAGGAACCATCCATGTGCTTTCAGGTGGAGACTGCCAGCCAGAGTGAGCAACTCTGCAGGGTCTTAGAGAAAGCTGGATATCCACAAGACATGGTCCACTACGGTCAATGAGGTGCCAAACACTTAAAGCACAGCGACACTGCTCTCACGGACATATAAAACGGACACACGTCTACAGGATGGCGCGAGGAGGAGTGAGAGGGACAGGACGCAGCCCAGCACTGCGTCTTGCACCAACCAGTTGATCTATTTTAGCTGTCGTCAATAGATCCTTGTGTTGAAACTGGTAAAAACCACAGGAATACCACAGTAACAGCACAGGATCAGGCAGGAGAAGCAGGGAGAAAGAGAGGTAGAGTATGATGATGGGGGAGGAAGAGAGGAGAGGATGGACTAGAATGGGACCCTGCTGTTATAGAGTCAGAGTTACCGCGAACATCTGGAGCTGGGCTTGCCCCGCCTCACAGACCTGAGAGACAGAAAGATGCAGTTTAACCACAGAGAGAGAAAGTGAGAGAGCTGGAAATTGAGTTTAGTGTTAAATTAAAGAGGAATATGCAGGAATTAATGCTCTAAAGCAGGGGTCTTCAACAGGGTACTGAAGTGGGTCTGCCAATTATTGTATGAGCTTAAGGCCGGGACATACTAAGCCGACTTCAAAGAACTAGCAGCAACGAAAGCCAACGGTGTTGTCACCTTGCGTCGGCAGCGTCTGGACCACAAAGCTGCGCTTGAACACACTGCACAGACTACAGCCGACTGCAAACGAACACATGCGTTCTCTGCACCTGCGTCAGAGGAACTGACTGTCTATATCAGCAGCTATCAATTGTATATATTCCTAATTCAAAAGGAGAAACCGAAACAAGGATATACGAGATATACGCAGATATACTAAACGTAAACAAAAAAGCGCTTTCTTACCATTTTGAATATCAGTTATGTTGATAAACTATCTTAATTTTAAGCGGCTCATGTTTTTGTGAAAATATTTGCATATTGGAATGCTTTGGTAAGATCACGTAATATTAGAATAGCCTTCTGTCTGTGCTGCCTTTTATTTATTTGCTCATTTTCATCACTTTCGCTTTAATTTGCGGGCACGGACTCATTCGCTAAACTGAACATCCAATCAGAGTTCTCACTCTTGCTGACGGCCCCGACGTCGATTCAACATGTTGAATCGGGCTCACCAACTTTAGACTAAATCCCGGCCTTAATATGTATTCAACAAAAATCCATTTTATAACATGATAATTAAAATCACTGTAGAATTACAATTATAAAATAATAAAAAACAATTATATAATTACATGTAAAATATTTCCTTTAACCAAACAAATATTTAAAAATGTATAATATAATCATACCCTTATCATACAAAATAATTATGTACAATTATTTCCTTCAGCCAAACAAATATAGTATAATATATAATCATGTAATTATTATATAAGGTCTATCACCAAAACTAAGGCCCTCGAACTGAAAAAGTCAAAGATCCCTGCTCTACAGCAAAATGAAGAAGATGACAGGAAAAAAGTCTGATCAATACACAAAATAATTTTGGCTATAGCCCTGGAGTGTCTCTGAGTTCCATTGTACACACTGAAATTGTTATAAGTACTTACCCACGCATTCTCTTCTTGTACCACAAGATGGCACCAACCACTAACAGTGCAAGTAAGAGCAGTAACACCACTGGGATGACCACTGATGGAGTACCTACACAAAGAAACATGCATCATTATACTATTGCACAGATTTCTTCATAGCAACAGGCATACAAAAAAAAAAAAATTTGCCAATGCAAAGCTTCTTTTTGTTTACCTTGCCAAACTAAATTGAATATGAATCTGAGAGAGATGTAAAGAAATGCTGGCACTTACTTCCAGAGTCTGAGTTTTGAACAGGGGCGACATTGAGCTCACAGCGGAAACCTGACCAGCCTGTGTGACACCTACATAACACACACACACACATACACTTTACATTACTGGCAATCCTTATACAGAATCATGTTATTATAAGTTTTTAAGATCATGCTATAGACAAGTTTGTCAGCTATCTCAAGTACAGAATTCAGGACATTCAGGTAGATTATCTTTTATCTGGGGTACCACAAGGTTCAGTACTAGGCCTATTTTTGTTTTCTATTTTCTATATTCTATTTGCAGTTTAATTGTCCATTTTATGTGGATTTTATATGTTGGTGTTTTTTCTTTTTACTTTTTGCCAACAAAACATTTGCAAGAACATAAAAGCAATTTCTTTTATACAGCTCTGTCCACTTTACCTGCACTGTGGCAGCATAGTATGAGGGTCTACAGAACACTGGCCCTCAATGCAGAAGTCATCACAGGTGTAGCACGTAGGCCGCTGGATGTCATTAGCGCATCTACACAGAAGAACATAAATTATCATAGCACCCACATAAACAGCACACAACTGATCCATATTTATACGACTCCTTATTTCAAACAAGCTAAGGCTTAATGTTGGAAGACTATGAAAGCCCAGTGAGTTGAATGTGCTGGTACATACTTGCATGTTATCCCGCTGCCTAGCACTTCACACTTGCCCGTGCCACAGTATTCACACTTGTTCAGCTCACATTGCAGACCAAAGTACAACTCAGAACACTGGCAATGTTTAGTGCCGTTCATCATCTCCATACAAGTACCTCCATTCTTACAGAAGTCCTCACAATGACCTGCACAGATTGATCCCCAGTACATATTTGACTTTGTTTCATTTATTAGTAAGACTTCTGTTTGGATGCAAACAGCTAATAAAAAAACATTAAGACAATGGAGATTTTAGAAAAGACTGAACCCTCTTTAAGGTGACAAGTAGTTAAACTCACTGTACTGGCACTGGTCACCCAAGAAGCCCTTTGGACAACGGCAGGTTGGCTGGTTGCCCTGGTTGACAGTGCAGTTGCCCCCATTCTGGCAGTAGTTGTTGCAAACATGCAGGTTACATTTGGGGCCAGTGAAGCCAGTCTGACAGCGGCAGGTAGGAGCACCTGAAGAGACGAAACAGAAAGTGTTGCTGATGTAGCTATAAAGACAAATGTGCAGAACCCTGGCCACAAAGGCACAATGTGTCTGTGATTGTGTGTACCTGTGCGTGACGGGGAGCAGGTTCCTCCGTTCTGACAGTAGTCTCTGCACTGGTTGATTTCACAGCGTTCTCCACTGTAACTGGTGGGGCAGCGACATTTGGGCTGGTTCCATGCGTTGAGGAAACAGCTGCCACCATTCTGGCACTGAACATTACATGTAGGAGCTAAAGGAAAAATATGTTAAAGATGACTGTCTGAATGAACATCTTAAGTTTTATAATTTAATAATGTTGAGAAATGCCTAAGAAATTAATTTATGCTCATGAAGTATCAGAAAAAATATTTTATTTAATATCATAAATGCATTCAATCAAGCTCAAAAAATTGCATATGCACAATATTTACCATGTAAATTTTTTTTCCCCCCTATATTTCAGTGTAATAAGTAGCTTCAGCATTGTTCTGGCTGTGGTATAATATGAATTAGGATATAGTGTGAAAGTAGGTTCTTACTGAAGGGGGACTGGGTCGCTGGTGGCACCCCCGTACAGGTACCGTTGTCAGGGATGTGGTCATTAGGGCAGGTGCACACTGGCCCACTGGGACTGAGTAAACACAACCATTCACACTTCTTCCTATCACATGGGTTAGTCACTGTAAAAAAAATACACGTTTTAGATAGCAGAAAAAAAACACACTCATATTCGCAGTTAGACCCTAAAAAATGTGTCCAAACCACAAACACTTTCACACAGACACTCACTCTCAGGCTGTTTGTAGCGGTGATATAGGACTATGTCAGTTGCGTGGTTGATGCCAGTGGTCAGATTCTCCGTCTGACCTTTGCCAAACTTGTTAACCCGGAAGACAAAGTTATTGGTGTAGGTAACACCATAAATGTAATCCTCAAAGATATCAATGCTGAAGGGGTGGAGGAGGTCTGTAAGAAATTAAGAGAAGCTGATTAATATTTAAAATATTACTGTTTTGTACAGTTTCTTTAACCATATAAATGGTAGCCTTTGTGAGTATTAAAAAAAACATTTGAACGGTAGTGTATATTATATTGTAGCTAAATATACATTTTAGCAGATACAGTCAAGGATAAGCTTTAATCCCAGAGCATAATAGCATTACTGAACTGTTTTTGAGGTTGGATACAGCCACAACAGGGTCAAAGCCATCCAAACGCACACTGCCAATCATAGAGAGCTTGACATCTGCCCAGTACAGACGCTCATTGAAGTAGTCCACTGCAAGACCTGTTTTAGAGAAGATGTATGCATTAACACATAGATTTAATTTGAATACAGTGAACTAATTTCATGGATACAGATGGTTAAAAGCAGCATTACGCTGGTAAGACCTGTAGGCCATTGGATGTTCTCATGGACCAGGGTTTGTCTGAGTGTCCCATCCATGGCTGCCGTCTCAATCTTTGGATGATTCCCCCAATCAGTCCAGTACATGGTTCTGATATATGAAACAAAAATGATCTATTTGAAGCGATCGATTCTACTGTAGAATTAAGAAAACATACAGTACAGTATATGCTTCTTACCCTCTCTGAGGATCCACTACAATGGCATAAGGCTCATCAATCATGCCAGAAATCAGCGTCTTCCTGTGCTGGCCTGAAATCTGAGCAACCTCGATCACATCACGTCCCGAATCGGTCCAGTAGAGGTTACCAGCCACCCAGTCTACCGCGATTCCACGTGGCATCTTCAAACCTGGAATCTAAAGAGGAGACAGGGAAAATTCAGAAAAGGTACTGCAAAGCATGAAGCTTAATAATGAACACAGAATGTCTTGACTTACATCGAGGTTTGTGACACTGCCCTCGCTCTGCCTCGTGTTGCGGTGAGAGTTAGACATAGGACCTGATGGTGAGGATGGAGATGGCAGCTGGAAGCAGGAAATGCCAGACGTGTGCCAATTGGTCCAGAAAATGCGGTTGGTCTTGACGTGCAAGTCCATGGCATCGATGCGCACGTTGGCGTCGCCCTGGAATGTCTGCTCATAAACCCACTTGCGCATATCAAGATTTAGACTGCGGATCTCGTTATCATCCGCAATGTAGAGGACCTGTTTACTAACGTTTTGACCTGCAGATACACACAAAAAAGTTTTCCATAGGTGAATGGAGAGCATGCACAACTCTTAAGGCAAAGTGATTTAAAGAATAAAATCAGCACATACTGTCAGCCTTGCATGTGTTGTTAATCCTGGTGAAGTATTTGTGGCAGCTGCACTTGTAGGAGCCTTTGGTGTTGTTACATATGTGAGAACACATACCAAACTGCTTGCACTCATTCTTATCTAAAAAGAGAACACAACAATTTATCAAATGTTGATTTGCAGGTGGTGATAACCTTCACTGACATAAAAAGAAAGTCGTAAGCCTTTTTAAGATGGCAGACTAAGTACCTTCACAGGTGTTGTGTCCAACGCTCTGGAAACCCAGTTTGCAGGAGCAGAATGTGTCTGTGCCGTTGGAAATGCAGTGAGCCTCATCGCCATCTCCACATAGAGATTTGTTACTCTTACAGTCATTCAGCATGGTGTCTACAAACACACAGACAGACACATGAAGTCAATTCAATCAGGATTTAAGAGCCCTTTCTAAATATCAAACTATAAAATCAAAGCGGATTTTATCCACAAAGATGGACACTGGCATTATGAGAAACTATTAAATGTAGATGTGGGATCCCATACAGATGGCAGCATCTTACCTGTCTTGCAGCCAATCTCATCTGATCCGTAATCTTCACAGTCATTAAAGAAGTTGCACCGCAGGTTGGCACTGATGCATTTGCCATTGCTGCACTTGAACTGGTCTTTATCACATGTGGATGTGTGGTCTCCTATATAAACATGAACCATGTCGCACAGGTCATGAAAACACTCAGTGAGTCTGATATAAAATCATCGAGGCACGTCAAGAGCAGAAGACTCACCACAGTTGGTCTCATCTGAATTGTCCCCGCAGTTGTCCACACCATCACAGCGCTTGCCACTCCTGAGACATACGCGATTATTCAGACAACGGAAATTTCTAGTGGGTGGGCACTGGAAGTTTCCTGAATTATAGAAAGGAAGAAGTTTACAGTTTGAGCTTGCCATGGATTAATGTTATTTTTCTATTCATCACCAACAAAACATTGCAAATGAATTGTAAATATTTGTCAGGGACGCTGATCATTTTTATTACAATTCAACTGTGTGTGTGAGTTCTTACTGCATTCCTCAGGGTTCTCATCATCGGAATCCCAAAGAATGCAGAGTTTAGCAAAAAAAAAAAAAAAAAGTGAGATACTTGAGATTGTATTTTAAAAAGGACATTTGACACATAAATAAGCCCATTTCAGAAAGAAGCAGACATGCATACTCACCAGAAATATCACAACTCGCTTCATCACTGCCATCAATGCAGTCAGCATCAGCATCACAGTGCCAGCGAAGTGGGATACAGTGACCATTCTTACACTGGAATTGATCCTCCTCACACTTCAGATCACAGCCATGCTGAGAGACACAATAATATATGTACTGAGTTTAATATGTAATATTACAATAAAGTGCTGAGTGCCACAAATGGACTTACTGTATGCAATAACCACAAAAACCAACCAGCTAAAGAAACCTAAACTATATTTATATTTCTTAGCTCATATTTTAGCTGGAAGCAACAGCTACAAATGTCTTAAATATAAATTCAGCTGTTTGCACTCTCATTCTGACGGCACCCATTCACTGAAGATGATCCATTGGTGAGCAATGTAATATAAAATGTAAATTTCTCCAAATCTGTTCTGATGAAGAAAAACTCATTTACATTTTGGCCTGAAGGTGTGTACATTTTCAGCAAATGTTCATTTTTGGGTGAACCATTCATTTGAAATGCTTACCTTTGTAAAGAAATTAATATGCAGAATTTATTTTTGTCTACAAAAGGTTTTTTAAATCATGAGAAATAAAAATGTGTGAAGTGTGTTCAAACTAATTACAAAGTTTTCCATATAATTCAGGAAGAATCACTTGGTTCGCTAGGAACTTCATTTCGGGTAAATGGAGGAACATTGCATTTAAGCTCTGAATAAATGGTCCCTTGATAATTGCAGTTTATAGACTGGCTATACCCAATTTATATGAGATGGTGAAGCAGGCCAGTGAACTGCAGTACCTCATCAGATCCATCTGAACAGTCATGATCTCCATCACACTTCCACCTCCCAGCAATACAACGGCCGTTAGTGCAGGCAAACTCACTTTCAGAGCACTGACGTGGCACTGGTAGGGAGAGAGAGAGACATAAATGTTAATATTGAAGAAAAAAAAAAAACAGACAGCACAATAACAACTACAAGGAAAACAGGAGGAAAGAAGGGGACAAATTTCAAGACAAGGTCTATAGGTCAGCTTAGAGAGTGAGAAAAATTACCAACACATTCAGGGTTCCCACATAACGATGATCAATTTTCAAAAGAAATTATTTTTTATATATATAGTAGTGCTGTCAAATGATTAATCGTGATTAATCGCATCCAAAATAAGTGTTTGTTTACATATGTGTGCGTACTGTGTATATTTATTATGTATATATAAATGCACACACATGCATGTAGATGCATGTGTGTATATTTATATATACATAATAAATATACACAGTACGATGATGACCATGGGAACCCTACTAATTAGTTCAGAATCATTGTAAACACTTTAATTTTAAAGACAACAAAACCACAGTTAACAAAACAAACCCAAATCAAACTTTATTCAAGTTTCAAGATCTGAGCGTATAAACAGAAATGTTCACTGCTAGAAGCTTCACTATTTAATTTCGAGGAGGAAAATGAACTATATCATTTCTCCACCAGGGAGCAGAAGCTGCAATTGGCCACTTCTGTCATAAACACGCATGGAATCATGGGGAGATGAGAAGAGAGGAGAAGGAAAGGGAGCCAGGAATAGGTAGGTGGTTTGGAGGGAGGAGAGACCTACCTCTGAGTCAAGCCAATGGGTCAGTGTGAAATGAAGAATAGAGACAACATGAAGTGAGATGCATCAGTGAGCAATGTGAGTGAGCCATGACATAGGACAAATAACCACAATGCCTCCCACAGACATACGTGATGGTCAAAAATAATAATAAACCACTAGATTCACTCCTATAACTGGCGTACATGCAGTCTCAGGTGTGCGAACAGGAAGCAGTAATGCTACAGTCATTGTCGGTTGAGATACATACCGCACTTCTCCTCATCCGAGTTATCGCCACAGTCATTGTCATAGTCACACTGCCAGCGGCCCGGCACACAGCGGTTGTTCTTACAGCGGAATTGGTACGGTTCACATGTTCTCTCATCTACTTCAAGAAAATACGATGTAATTATTCACTTTTTTCAAATTAAACAAACTAAAATAAAGAGAATACAATGAATCATTTGTATTCACGTCCACGACAAATCAAAAATTTTTAATTAATAAAAGGTATAAATAGAGAAAATAAAGGCTGTCGCACCACACTCCTCTTTGGGTTCATCTGAGCCATCTCCACAATCGTCCTCTCCATCACATGTCCAACGGGACGGGATACAGCGGCCCGAGTCCTTACAGCGGAACTCATCCACACCGCACTTCATCTGAGCTGCAGAAAACACAAACAGCTTTAATTAGGACTGTCAGTCGATTAATCATTTGATTTATTTGGTTATTTTATGCTATATTATAATCTAAGGCTATTTTTGTATCAAGAACAAGATAAAATCAGTTAAAAATAGGTAAATAAACTATTAACAGACATAAGTAGTGCTGTTAAATCGATTAATTGCGATTAATTGCATTCCAAATAAGTTTGTGTTTACATAATGTGTGTGTACTGTGTATATTTATACGTATATATAAAGACACACACATACATGTAGAGATTTAAGAAATATATATATGTTTAATATAAATCATATGTAAATATGAATATATATATAAACTTGTA